TGTTAGGAGGTTTTTGATTACTGAGTTTTCTGTTAGTCTCTTCAGATTTTCTATTTGTTTTGATTCAGTATTAGAAGATTATGTGTCTCTAGGAGTTTATCCATTGTTGTAGGTTGATCAATTTGTTGACATATAATTGTTCATAGTAGTTTCTTAGGATCCTTTGTATTTCTATGATGTCAGTTGTAGTTTCTCCCCTTTCGTTTCTGATTTTACTTATTTGAACCCTTTCTCTTTTTCTTGGTGTGTCTAGCTAAATGTTTGTCAATTTTGTTTTCGCAAAGAATCGGATTTTGGATTTATTGATTTTTTTTTTCTTGTCTTTTTACCTGTTTCATTTGTTTTCAGTCTCATCTTTAGTATTTCCTTCTTTATTATAACTTTGGGGTTTCTTTGTTCTTTTTCTAGTTTTTTGAGAGATGAGGTTAGATTGTTTATTATTTGTTGTTTCTTGAGGTGTGCTTGCATCACTGTGAACTTCCATCTTAGAATTTCTTTTGCTGCATCCCATAGATTTGGTATGTTGATTTTCTGTATATGGGTATTCTGGATATAAGCCTCATTGTTTTTCAAAGCTAGATATTTTGGGGGCTAATCTCTCTGTTATAGGTCCAAGGGTTGAGGTGCCTGATGTGGAGCTTGAACCCCTCATGTCTCAGGAGAAACCCCAGAATCATGAGATCCATCCCTATTGGGAGTCACTGTACTTTGAGTGGTGTTCTTCGGTGAGATGATATTTCTATTTCTCCCACTCGTGTTGATGTGATCCCTTTATTGTGGTCTGTAAAGTAGCTGTTCAACTAGTTTCCAGGTCTGTGATAAACAGAATTATTTTATATGTAGCTGTAAATGATCTACATCCATGGGAGGAGGTGAGTTGTACCAAATATAATTTTTAAACTTTATACTTGCTTTTCTTTCTGTATTCACTAATTTGATATTTTATGCAAGGTCATGGCTTTAAATACACTTTACATGTTAATGATTTTCAAAATATTCTCTCTAGTACAACCCTCTGCCCTAAACTCTAGACCTATATATCCATCTTGGTATTATAGATCTTTACTTAGGTAGGTATTAGGCAATCAAACTTCACATATTTAGATTTGAGTTCCTGTGAAACCTACCCAACACATTTTTCACCTTGTTTATTCTTGCCAACTCATTCTTTAATTGTCTCAGGCCAAAACATTGAAAGTAATCTTGGCTCTTCTTGTTCTTTGCCAACATCTCTCCTAACAGATCTGAAAGATAGTCTCAGCAGATCTACATACGGTCTGGCACACAATAAGCAGTTCATAAGCCACTCAGGCTTTTCATTGTGAACCATTTTTTTTTTAACTTCAATTGCATGAAAGCCACTTTTAGAACTCTTGTTACTGGTGGGTCCTTAAGGAAAGAAAAATCAAGTACATTTCCCTCTCTCTATAAATAGGTTGTCACCTTAAAGAGATATTAAAACTAGTCCCCTGATGATTACAGAGGCCAAAGGTAAACAGACAAACAAACAAAACAATGCTGTCTCTTAATCTGTTTATTGCTGAAGTGTAAGTATGTATTTTTTAGCAAAGAATATTAAGCTAATGAGATAAGTATGTATAATATTAAATACCAGAGCAGATTACCCTTAGGAATAAGAGTTTTGATATACCAGTTTAATAAGTATACAAATAAAAATGACCATATTTAAACAGTAAAATCATAAACTACTGCATTTTCTCTAAAATAATAGCAAACTGAGAATCAGCCTCTTGTTCTATAAAATACTTAAAATACCTTTTACGTCTCTTTTTCTTAAACTGTCCATAAAATGCAAAACTTAATGCTTCAGGTTTTTCTTCCAAGTTTTTATTTAAATCACAGTTAACATACAGTGTAATATTAGTTTCAGGTGTAGAGTTTAGTGATTCATCACTTACATAAAACACCTGGTGTTCATCACAAGTGCCCTCCGCAATCCCCATCACCCACTTAATACGTTAAAAAGTAGTCTCTACTAGCTTGATTTATTTGTTCAACTACTCTTCAGTCCCTTGTTCACTCCAGTTGTGTTGTTCAGTTTCTGGAGGGGCAACTGTGAGGTTAAATTGAGGTAAAAGAGAAAATGGTCAATGCTAAAGTAGAGGCAGTAAATGTAAGTTATTCTTTAGGCTGTTGGGTGACAAGAAATGGTAACTATGTGATGGGATAGACGTGGTGACTAATAGAGTGGTGCTGCTCATTTTGCAATTTACAAATGTCTCAAATTAACATTTTGCACATCTTAAATTTGCAGAGTGTTATGTGCCAGTTATATCTCATTAAAGCTGGGGATGAAAGAGGATTAGCATGTCTTTGAAAAAAAAATGTTTGGTGAGGGAAAAATAAGAAGGGGCAATAACTTGAGTAATAAATAAGATAGACAAGGTATCTTATTGACTTTCATTCAGTACAGTGAAGATGCCTTTTAAGGGACACCTGGGTGGCTCAGTTGGTTAAGCCTCCGACTTCAGCTCAGGTCATGATCTCACGGTTAGTGGGTTCGAGCCCTGCATTGGGCTGTGCTGGCAGCTAGCTTAGAGCCTGGAGCCTCCTTCTGATACTGTGTCTCCCTCTCTCTCTGACCCTTCCCTGCTCATGCTGTTTCTCTCTCTCTCTCTCTCAGAAATAAATAAAACATTAAAATTTTTTTAAAAGATGTCTTTTAAGCTTATTTATTTTGAGAGAGAGAGAGAGAGAGAGCACGTACACAAGTAGGGCAGGGGCAGAGAGAAGAACAGAGTCCGAGGCAGTTGCCATGTCATTGCAATCAGCACAGAGCCTAATGTGGGGCTTGAACCCGGGAACAGTGAGATCATGACTTGAGCCGAGATCAAGAGTTGGATGCTTATCCACTGAGCCACCCAAGCACCACAGGACATTGAAAATTTAAACCTGTTTTGTAACAGGAGGAAAAATCCAATAAAGGTACTTACTGAACATGTAAAAGCCAGTTTTACAGGAGAGGGTATATGAGCAAAACTGGAATGGTGGACTTTGAAAGTGGAAGAGAGTGAATTGAATTGATATGAAGGTATTTTTGAAGTTAAGAATAGTAAGGCTGAGAAAGTTTACTCAGGAAAGACTCCATATCTGCATAGGAACTAAATCTCTTTTAGGTCCTGGAGTATTGGTGGTTTGAAGAAGTGGGGATGTGAATAGTGAACTGGTACTTCTTAAGAAGTAAGAGTGGAAAGGATTTGCAATAGACACTCTTCTCTTGTAGAGAGCAATTTAAAATAAGAAGAAGTGTTAGCAAACAATATTGTAGACAAAGTAGTAGCCAGCAGAATGGCTTGCAGTGTAAACAGTTATGTAAATTTCTTCCACAGTTTTCTGCAAAGTAATAATTTAATTTACGATGACACACATACAGACACATGGACAGTCAAAAGGAAACATACTTTTATTTCCATGATCTACAGGCAGTATCTCCAGGATAAATCCGATCATATCCTGAGACAACTAAAAGATTGGTGTTGGGAATCTTATCTTCCAATTAAATTCACATTTGGAAGTCATTCATTTGATATTCATTCTCCCACCACTAGTATGGCACTGTGTCCTGGTGCCTCTAATTTGAAGTTTATGCTTTTCTTAAATTTCTCTACCTTATCCAATTTAGTTTGGCTTCTTATTTCAACCTTATAGCTATTGGCCATTTCCCCTAAATTTTTGTAATCAGGACCAGCTGCTTAATTTGTGGGGTCTAGTACAAGAACAGAATGCAGGATTCTTGTTCTAAAATTAAACTTCAAGGGAGTGACAGCAGATCATCAGAGCAAGCAGGGGACCTAAGCATGGAGTCCTGCACAGTCGCACAGGTCGCTATGATGCTGATGGCCAGCCCCGATTGTCAGCTTACATATTTGGTTAATTTTATACCTATGTTGCTTTCAAAATTAGTCAGCAGTTACAGAATTAGATGCATTTGTACAGAACAGCATTGTTTAAAAAGATTTCACTAGGGATGATTAAACAATGATAAATACTTTAGAAAATGGAAAGGTAGAATTGAAGAGATTTAAATCTTAGTGTGTTGATGATGGATATAGCTTCTAGGATTACATTTTTTCATGTTTTGAGTTTGGTGCTTTCTTTCCTTATAGGTGAAGAAAGATATTGGGTATCTTGAGTCCTGACTTTCCTAGGTTGAATGCTCTGTGATAAAACTATTATCTTTTTAAAAAACTGCAATGTAAGCAGACTGTTATGCCAAACATCTGTGTTCAAGGTGACTTCATTTTTGAGCTGAGTAGTGGACTATGCAAGTTCTTCTCATAATAACTTTAACTGAATAATTGGACAGGAATAATTAGATTTTGAGGGGAAAAACCCACCTGTGTAATATTTACACATAGATAATAAATTCAATAGCCCAGCCCTCAGTAATGTAAGAAAAATAGATAAGACAGTTTATCCTTTTGTTTTTTAATTAGAAAATATTTTTTCTCTTTCTCTTTTTACAGTATCTTTTATTATCTAAGAAAAATATTTTTGTTTACCTTTTACCAGTTATGTGAGTTACCTTGATTGTTGATTTTAATAATGTTTTATTGCACATCTTGTATTTTGAATTTAATTACCCTGTATTTTATAGACACAGGAAATGAAATATTATGTAACCTTCACAAGAACAAAGGCTGTTGGAAATATGTTTCATTCTTACTTTAATCGTTATGAATCATAGAGGTATATTTATTTTATTTTGTAGGTAGTAATTATATCATTATCTTTAAATATAATTTACCCTCAATCAATAAATAGTATTTTCTTGGCTATTTGCACTGACATTTATGAAATGTTTTATAAGACAGTAGTTAAAATTTTCTTGTCTGTAAGTATACCAGGTATAACATATTAACTTTGATTCAGACACAAAGGTCATGAAAATACATATACACAAGCGGCAGCAGCGGCAGCGGCAGTAGCCACCACCTCCGCGGGAGCCGCAGCCGCCGGCCTAGCCTCCCCCCGGCCCCGCCGCCGCTGCAGTCATGGCTGCTGATGGGGTGGACGAACGCTCGCCTCTGCTGTCAGCATCCCATTCGGGAAATGTCACTCCCACGGCCCCGCCGTACTTGCAGGAAAGCAGCCCCAGAGCGGAACTCCCCCCTCCATATACAGCCATTGCCAGTCCTGATGCCACTGGTATTCCAGTAATTAACTGCCGTGTGTGCCAGTCTCTCATCAACTTGGATGGCAAGCTTCACCAGCATGTGGTTAAGTGCACGGTTTGCAATGAAGCTACGCCAATCAAAAACCCCCCAACAGGGAAGAAATATGTTAGATGCCCTTGTAATTGTCTCCTCATTTGTAAGGACACATCTCGGCGAATAGGATGTCCGAGTCCTAACTGTAGATGCATAATTAACCTTGGCCCAGTAATGCTTATTTCTGAAGAACAACCAGCTCAACCTGCATTGCCAGTCCAACCAGAAGGTACAAGGGTCGTGTGTGGGCATTGTGGAAACTCGTTCCTGTGGATGGAACTGAGGTTCAACACTCTGGCAAAATGCCCACACTGCAAAAAAATTTCCTCAGTGGGTAGTGCGCTTCCACGAAGACGCTGCTGTGCATATATTACCATTGGGATGATATGTATTTTCATTGGAGTTGGATTAACTGTTGGCACCCAAGATTTTGCAAGGCGATTTCATGCAACCTATGTTTCTTGGGCAATTGCTTATCTCTTAGGTTTGATCTGTCTTATCCGAGCTTGTTACTGGGGAGCCATAAGAGTGAGTTATTCAGAACATAATTTTGCCTAAGCTTGCTTCTGATTCAGTGATGCAGGGGAGAGCATCTAGCTGTTCTTGATAAACTACTCTGGACATCTTTAAATCATTTATCCTAATGGATTCCATTCTAGTTTATGTATAAAGTTTCAAGACTTTGCGAGTATTTTATGAACATATGCCCATTGCACTACATTATATGCAAATAGTTTGTTTGCTGCTAGATTTTCAAGCTCTGAATAATAAAACTGTGTCTTCATGTTCTTTTACATCTCTTAAAAGATATTTTTGGATTTGTCACCAAACATTACTTATAACATCACCCTTCCATTATTTTTAAGTCAGTTATTCCATTACTTGCTCATCTGTGAGTATTCCCAAGGAGTGTTTATAAATGTTTCTACAATAGCTTCACATTTATACTCACATTTTAATTAAACAGTATCAAAATTGCTTGCTTTAATATCTAAGCAATTTGCATTTTGCTTGAACTGCTTACTGTAACTTTAACCTAAGATCATAGTGACCTTATTCAGGAAAAACATTTGAGTGTAACTTCAAAGACTTGACATTCTTGTCAGATAAAAACCATTTCTAGATACTGTATGCTTGTTTTTTGTTGTTTGTAGAAAGATACAATATTTTGGTAGTAATTTAAAATACAAGAATGAAAATATTTATTTGTCCACAGTTGGAGATAATGTTGGATAAATGTTTTTTTCCTCAAAGATCACAGGAGTTTTGTCTTTCATTTTTGTCTGCTTTTTTGTTTACTAATTATAAAAGTTCTGGTCTAGATTTATGAAATTTAATGTTTATCAGCTGTGTGTATTCCTTTATAGATCTTGGAGGAAGTATTTCACATGACATATTTTATAAAATTAACCATTTAAACAATGATATATTTACACTGGGTTGCCCTCTTTTTCATTAAATCATGGTAAAGTTTTCCTATTGGGCTAATTATGGACTGCTTATATGAGAAGAGAGCCTATGACATTTTACAGTAGCTAAAATGTTGAGATTAGAGGTAGTTACTCTTTTCATTCTTTTCAAATACAGCTGGTCAGATAGTTACCCAATTTATTCAAGAACGTAGATCAAAGACAAAAAGCAACATAGTTTTCTAAGAATTCACTAGGATTTAAGGAATCAGCTCTCGCACTGCCTATCTTTGCAGTTTTGAAAAAGAAATTGCTTAATTGAGAAGTAATGTTCTAAAGCCTTTAATGTAGTAGAAGTAAGATGATGAAATGATATGAGTAAATTAATTGGCTATTCCAGAGATAAGAATAATAGTTTAAATTATTTATGTTCCTGACTAGTATAAAAATGTACTCATCAGAGAATTTGGAGCAAAATACATGTAAACTTAAAAGAGTAATTGATAAATGTCTAAATGCAGTAGCTCAGGATTATATGTACCCTGGAAAATACAATAATAAAGATTATTGTTCAAAAAAAAATACATATACACATATATATGTTTGTATCTATATTTATATATGTATATATATTAATATTTCTGCATATATATACATATTTCATGCATTCTATTTTACTACTTAATATTTAAATATGTACTCTAGGTAAATTGTTCTTTCTTTGGGAGAGCATTAAAATGAATGAGTATGAACATACACATTTAAGGGTGTCTCATCTTTATATATCTTATAATTTGGTGGTTGAACTCCTTCCTTTAAAATTTTAATAACAAAAGAAGGAGATAATGTATAAATGAAAAACATCTAGTGTTAAGGCTTAAAACTTAATCAATTGCAAAATTAAATCAGTACTACGGATTGGTGAATTCACATTTTAGGAATTAATTTTTGAATAGATACTTCTCTTTTAGTTTCATTATCCGTGTACATTCTCATAATAATTCCTGGAGGTTTTCTCTTTGTCTTAATGAAACTTGTACATAGCTTTTACTTATGATCTGTTGTATTTGCAACTAATATATAATTCATATAACATAAAATGCTATTCTCAAGGTATATGTCCATCTGTTTCATCCATCTTCCTTTTAACACTCTAGGCTCTTTTTAAACTGATTTTCTTTTCAAGCCATGAAAGGTTGAATAATCTAAACTCTTCTTTAATATTCAGGTAAATCTGGCTGAAATAACTTGTAATTTTGTTATGTTTTGTTTTTAAAGAAGGATGAGAGGGGGAACATTGAAAAAGGGTTTGTTTTTTTGTTTTGTTTTGTTGTTTGGGTTTTTTTGTTTGTTTGTTTGTTTTGCAATGTGTTCTAGTTTCTCAGGGCAATTCATGTATAGAATGAAGAACAAAAACATTTACAAGTTCATCAAGCTGTTTCTTAAGTCATAGAATGTAAATATTCATTAGAGAGCTCTCATTAAAAGTATCTGGTAAAAGTGGAGAATGACTTTACTGCCTCTCCCTTACCAAGTTTCATGTTGTTTTCTAATCTGCCTCAAGAAATGGCTAATTTAATAGTACTCTGCTTTTCCTTCTTTTTTGTTGTGAGCTGAATTAATTGCATTTGTCTGTCATTATGTAATTCTTAATTATGGCATCTTTCAAATTTCACTCTTGATAATTCATTTCAAATTTGTCAAGTCCTCAAAATCACACAGATGGAAGAGCGTAGGAACTTTAGCCTTCACATACTCCTTCCCAACTCCTTTGAATTTCTAACTTAGTAGAATTCGATTGAGAATGGCAATCAAATGGCAATTTGAAATTTTCCCCTACAATCTGCTGTTTATTTAGGTTTGAGAACTCTGACCTTGACCTTCACCTGAACATGAATTGTTTAAGGAAGTTCCCTTTCCTAAGGTGCCCAGTATCTCAGAGTCATTCCTGGTGTGGACCATTAACTTTTTCATGTCCATCCACTGCTCATTGGAACTGACTGATCACTTTATTCCAGAGACGAAACTCATTTTCACTTCCCAAACAATTAAACTGAGAAGGGGAAAAATGTAGTTCTCCTTCAAGGCTACATTTCCCTGCTGGAATAGAATGAGCACTTTCTAGGATGCCGATGGCACGGAGTACATTGCTGTGTTTCCCAGTACACTACCTCTCTCTGTCCCAGACCAAAGTCTAGATGGAACAGACATACCCTGTGGGACCAGATTGGAAGACACTAAGCAGTCCTGCATGATTGCAGTAGATACTGTCCGCAATGTAATCTTCAGCTGTAACTGACGTTTGGCAAGGGCAATAATGCTACAAGCGAGGGTCCACCCCCAGAGGCCTGCTTGCTCCTCTCTCAGTCCAAACAACTTCAGCACAATGGGTTTCATGTCCAACTGATGGTTAGGTGCCACTGGGGAGAAGAGATAGTGGTGAGAGGAGGTTGGGAAACAGTGTATGTCTCTCTCAGCCAGTTTAGTACCTCACAAGAGCATTCAGTGACAGATGACCCTGGTTTATAAAAAGGAATCAAATGTAATGGACCACTTTGCCAGTGTTGATCTATTCCCTGGGCTTACATCAACACACATGAGTCTTCTTTCTGCGCTCCCAGTGTACTGCTAAGGAATTGTTCAGTGTATTTGGCAAGCAAAAGGAAAAGCAGCTGTTCCCTGAATCTTGCTCCTGTTGTTCAAGGTGCACATCCCAGCCAAATGAATCATATTGGAGCCAAAGACCCTGGCAGGAATTGCTTGCTACAAATCTGTAGTCTTGTCTATCATATCTACCTGGAGAACAGAAGGTTTGAAAGGCTTCTAATAACCTTAGGATAAAATAGTGCTTGGTGCAGCTACTGAACTAGATGTGAGGATTTACTCAGTGTAGTTTGGATAAGTAGGGTGACCGGAAGCCATAAACACACTCTGTTTTATGCACTTCAGCTTCTTGAGAACCGGGGTGATCATCTGGAGTATTTGTGGTTAATAAATATTGTTAGTCTTCATACATATGGAAAGAATGAAAAAGGATCATCCCAGACATCCCAGGAGAGAAGAGTAGTAGTTTTCCAGTTTCTCAGCTACTACTTCTAGTTGGCAGTGTGAGTATAATTTCACTCCACTGATGATTCACTGTACATGCTGACAGAGTCCAGAGAATTTTATTTCAAGGAAACCTCAATACTAGCCTCAGACCATTATTGGCCTCTATCAAAGTAAAAAGAATCCAGTGTTGATCTCTAATGTACTTAAGAAAAGAACCATTTCAGATTCTTGGGGCCACATTTGGAGACTACCTGACTGAAGACTGAAATCGGTTTTATCGGTACCCCTTGTGTCCATCCTTACCTGCTCTACTAAAGGTTGTGTGACAGATAAGCTTCTCACACATTATCTAAAGTTGAGGAGGCCAGAGACACTGTGCCCCCTTGTTCTCCTGAGGATCTGAATTCCTGAGTGGAGAGATTGACTAACGCCATAAGGCCTTTCCTTCCGAGATCTCTGTTGCATTGCTGTGTTGGCTAGAAATCACTGCCCTCATGTAAGGAACACCAAGGAGTGTGTCATTCAGAGACAAGTTGACACTGCTACCAGTCTGTCTACAGTTGGTCTTACTAGGTTCTCCCCCACTTGAAGCCTTCTCTACTTGGATGATTACCTGCATACCTCAGTTATAAAACCACCAACAATGGTTTTATAAATGGTGATGCCTTGCTTTTCTGTACCTACACCTGAGTTATGGAAATGTCACTGCATCTTTGGCTTTATGGGATAATAGAAGCAATTGCCAGAAATCGTCTGAGTTTCTCAGTGGCTACATTCCCACTTGTAGTTCTCCTCTCTACTTACTGCTTCATTCTACAACTTGATTTTACCTCAAGATTTGGATTTTTTCTCTTAGGTGGATTCTGTGAGTTAGTTAGACATGTATTCTCAATCCTGACTCAGTTTATCCCTAGACTCTGATTCTGTCACACCATTCTGTATCAAGAGGAATATTCTGTGATATTTTATTTGGTTACAATATCAATAAATTATTGATTGCCTAAACTTTAGACTTTGATATTATGAGCGTATGTGCATTTGGAGAGTACCCTTTGCACCAGAGAAACTTTGCTAACCAGGAGGGTCTCTGAAGTTTCC